CCAAACCAACACGTCTACTCGGCTCGCTCAGTGCATATATGCACCCAGCTGATCCACTTTACATGCTCAGTGCACATGCCAAGCTCACATCATCACATCCATATGTCCTTTGTTCGTATGTTGTATGTCGTTTCCGATTTCAATTCCTCGCTCGAGTCCTACTTCGTTTTTTGTCTTTTCGATCTGTGAACTCACTCTTTCGTCGTGTCTCATCTTGTAAGTCACCCTCGTCTTCGTGAATAACACATACTCACTCGCTTTTTCTTGCTAGCGCTCAAATCAATGCTTCTTGTAGGGCTATCTGTTTGCTTTTCTCGTTTCGTTTGTTCTAGCTATACTATGGGCATGTCATCGTTTCCTCTTTTTTTTCGCGTTGTACTTGGAATTTCATGATGCATCGACGACGATCAACGATTTGATCATGATCACTTGTACGTGAGAGTATGTACCGGTACACCTGCGGCCCCGTACAGGGCGCTGAGACAACGCTCATACCAGATATATACTTGTCGAAACCATTTTATGACACAAGTTGTCGGCTTGAGAACAGCATGCTAGTAGCCAGCTTCCATAGCAACCACAGGGGGTCAGCGGCCAGGATTCATTAGTCGTACTTTGACTATGTCGGTCCTGCAGCATTGGTAATCCCTTCATGAATGTACTGAGGGACCTTGGGGAATTGTCTGAATCGGCAGTCCAACGACGAGTAGATGAACCAATGCATTCTATACAGATGAGTTATTATGTAAATAGAATAATAAAAACATGGATAGGACATATGACAATACATCATTATCATGTGAAGGACAGATGCCCGGATATAATGATACTTTTTCGAAGTGGTAAATAAAATAGGGGTATAACGCGTGGAAATGGTCAGAATTGAGAGATTTGAATGCTCGATGAATTTATAAATCATGTGAGTTGGAGGGTGCAGTTCCCTAGCCACGGCTAAATTGGCCAAGCCAAGCCCTTGAATATGTAAGCTGTACCTATGTAATGGCTTGGCCAGCCGCATTTCAGTTTCGGCTAAAGCCGGGCTCGAAGCCGGCGCCGCGGCAACACTACTTGTTGATCCTATTTGCTATCATAATCTCGGCTGCAAGTGATAATCAATGCATGATCAGGCCCTGGATCAAATGATGGTTGGACTGTCTGCGTCGTAATGACCCGCGCAAGTGTCGTTTTCAGTTACAAATATGATATACTACATTGCATGACTCGGAGGTATACAGGAATGAGCTGTGCTCGTAAAAATTGTAAGTAATGAACGAATATCCCGACCACTACGCATCCAAAAATATTTTGGAGAAATACTTCTTCACGCCTTCTGTACCATGGACTATCGCCCCAATCACACCATCAGGCCGTATCACAAACACTTTCGTCTGGCCAGCCTCCACGAGATAAGCCGAATAAGCATAGCCCTCCCGATCAACAAGAACGAGGTCAGGAGATGGGACAGGCGTCACTGATGCCGATGATGGCAGAACGACTGCCGATCGTACGACACTTTTGTCGTATGCCTCCAGTGCACCCAAGATCGAGGTAGCATCAGCGAGACTCGGCGCAAATACAAGCATTGTGTGGTACCAAGATCTGTACAGACCGAAAAGCGTCGTTGTGTTGAGCTCTGCGCCCCCCACCTGCAACATATTGGGCGCATCAGGCGCCCTATCCCCAGCTTCCAGATGCCCCTCATCAAGCACACCATATGCGTTGATAGGCTTCCTCTCAACTGAAGAGACAAATTCATCGAGTACGATGGTGCTGAATCGGCAGTTGATGCCGAGCATGCAGAGGACGGGACTTCGTCCGGCCGACCAGTCCCTAGACGCTGTTGCCTTGTCGAGCATCGAGGTGGTCACCTCGAGCATCTCGGAGATCACAGGCAGACGTTCGGTGCTGTATGTCTCGAGAAGAGATTTGTTAGCGAGCCCTTTCTGGACGAGCGCAAGCTTCCATCCTAGATTGAACTGGTGTAGGACGCAGTCAGTCATAACACACATGCTGCATCTACCCGACTCACTGCATCTTGTACACCTGAATTGAGTCCCTATTCATAGACAAATCAGCAACAATCAGCAACAATCAGATCAATCATACCTGACCGCCCATTGGACTGTGGACACTTGGATGTGTTAGCAGCAATTTACATAGAGGGCACTCAAAGATAGACATACTGAGCAGCATCTACGACGACATGTATGAGTACAGCCACACACATCTCAAACAGAACTACATACCACCCGCAACGAACACTCGACCCTCGCTAAACTTATTCACCATCCGGATATTGGCCCTGGAACAAACCGATGAATGTGCATCAACACAGACAGGTTCACAAAACGTACCGGAAGTCGCTCATCCAGACCACCTTTTCGAATGTAATCTCCGTTGGTATTAACAACGCGATGGTTTCAAAGACAAGCTCTTCGCTCTCAGCTATCTTCGTGAGATCTAGTTCGCGGCCGTAAAGGAAAAATTGCCAGCCATCCTCGGCAATTTCATCTGTTGCACGCAATGAGAGGCTGCATGTCGTCAGTATACACATCTCCAAGCTTCAAGTGAACATACCCTCGTTCATTAAAGTTTCCAAACCGGTGCCAATGCTTCAAGACTGGTTTAGGATAGCTTTTCATCGAATATAAACTAAACGTACCACTTTATGGAGGCCAACGCTCGTCAAACGGATATCCCCAGTCACAATCCGGATATCGTCTCTAGTCTCACCCAGAAATGTGAGTCCAAGTTGCTTGCGCACGACGCCTGCAAAGCCGCCTTCAGTCTCATTCATCCCGGCGGATTGAACTGCGCCCCACTTTTAGCACCGTCAGCGCCGATAATCCACTTCGTATCAAAAGTCTCTGATATGCCGTTCTTTGCTAGAATAGCAGTGACACCCTCGTCGAACTGTTCGAATGAGCACAGTTTGGTGCCCATCTCAACAGAACAAGAAAATTTTTCTAGATGGCGTCGCAGAATCACATCTAGAAGCTGTTGACCCATCAATTTGAGGCCATGCTAAAAAAAATTGAATCAGCATGAAGGTTTGATTAAGCGACGGTGTTACGCACGAATGGTATTGCTGGACTAGGTTCCATATGCGGGTCCATCGATGAGTCTTTCAAAGGTTCCAACGTCCCAGGCTTGTACGAACGGAGGGGAGGGGGTGATTTTCCCTGGCTATTGACTTCTGAAACGTCCAGGAAGTTGTAGACTTCGAGGGAGCGTGGCTACATAGAGCATGCATTCAATGAGATCACGGGATGATGTGACAAGTGGATGTACGACAAACCCATGTTCCAACACCACGCTGTCCGATGCGGGGGTGGTGGTCTTCATCGATGATGCGGACCGGGATACCGTTTTGAAGGAGCGTCAACGCTGCTACCAGACCCACTGGCCCAGCACCAACCTAATGGCAAGGAATTCAACTGAGGTGCAAACACGTATCATAAGCACGTCACTTACGACTAGTACGGGAGGATGAACAGAAGTCATTTATAGCGCTCGAGATACTGGCAGGAGGATTGGTTAGTATGAATTCCAAGGATTTGGATCAGCAGGTCCTTATAACATTATGATGGGGATGGGGCTGGGTGTTGTGGTAATGACTTGTCATTCAGCTGCCGCTGAGCTGTGTATGACTAGTATCCTTACAAAACAACTTACCCATCAACGACGATTCGAGTCATTCGATATGACTCTTGACGTTACTCTTGTACATACGGCACTCACTTTTACATACGCAATCGCTCCTTGCTTCATACACGTACACGTTCGTTCACCTTTGATTAATCATAATTTTCCGTCTTGACAATCAGCGTATTTCCCCTCGGACAATAATTCAATCTCCCTAGTAGGACTGAAGTCAGCTGGATCTCTTATTAACGGTTCTACTTACATTTTCCTGACTATTGTGCTTTTCCCGTTTACACATCCCATCAGATGATTTGTCCAAGCGCTCACAATATAATTCATGACGGAGACTGGACGGCTCGCTTATGATTTATTTGAGCCAGTACCATTGGGAAAATTGGTAGGAAGAAATTTACACTCAGCGAATACATACAATTGAACAGAGGTCGAATTGACTGACTAGCAGGCGTCACGAGTCTATTGACTGACGACAAAGCAAAACAAACACGTACAATTTACTGCGTAATCACTCGGCCAATGAGTAAGCCCAATTAAACTTGGTGACAACTAACAACACTGGCAGTGACAGCATCATATAAATCACGCCCCAAATGCCCATTTTACTTCACAGCTCTCCTCCTTGCCCCGCTCCAAAGAGTAAACCCTGTTCGGCCATAGATCGCTGAAAGTGGATCACCTCAAACTCTTTTTCATCATAATCAGGATATCTTTCATCGCGATCCTCGCCATTCCTTTCCTTTTCCTTCACGCTAACTCGTGCTTTCATAGCACCTATATTCCCCATATATATAAAAATACGCCTGTCCTGTTCATATTTTCAGTGAATTCATTCATTCAAAGTCATCGAACAAAGTATACCGCACACTCAGCTTCTTGTCATCTGTATTCCCTTCAAGCTTGTCAGCATTCGAGTGATACACGTTGTATCTGCTCTACACAGGGACCGGCCTCAATGATGACAGTTAAATGTGAAGCAGTCCTTCGCTGACTGAATATTGTTGGTCTGAGTTGCATTGATTACCGGGGTTAGAAGATCTCGACTGGACTCATGCATGCGACGCATTGCCTAGATACTTAGCTTGCAAATTGCGTTGGTGATATCATCGCGTCATCTAATATTTCCTAAGTGCTGTCGTGACTTACCTCTCAATATTGGAGTTTGATTCGTTGACCTGGGAGACGCGTGTTCGAAGTGTCACCTCCTTGCGGAATCAGATACTATGATGTTGAACGTCGCCAATCGAGGTGACTGTTGCTATTTCGCGCGCGCGCCGTCACCATACATGAATTAAGCAACACGAATCTGCTGCGTAAAAGCCCTCTCTCCTCAGAGATTTCTACTCCCGTTGTATGACAGCTAAGAGCCCAAGACCTCTGAGAAGTGCGTATTTAAGTTGTGGGAAATCATTCTATGTAGCACGACCAGCGTTATTGGGCATGAACAAGATATGCATGCTTACCATGGCAATCGTCACGTAGCCGATGTACGGAAGAAACCTGGGGATGAAGTGTGATGAAGTGTGAGTGAAGTAGAAGCGTGGTTAGAAGATTGAGTAGGAAAAGAGACGTATCAGGCTGCGCAAGTTGTGCCTCAAAACAGGAAGGAAAAATGTGAAAAACACATACCCGCGAACTTTGCCAATGATATGTCTTCGGTCGAGCCATTCAAGGCCCCGGTAGAGGTCAATATCATCGACATGATTGTTGTCGCCTTTCGTGAGCATCAATTGATGTTCCCCGGGAGGTAGTTTGAGTTTGGCTAGTCTGGGGCGGGGTATAATTGTAGTTAGTCATCGGATTTCATCGACTTGACCCCCACAACAAACCACGTACGGCATACTGAAGATACTCACCTGTTGTTGACGATGCGGTTCTCCGTAGTCAAATGGGATAAAAACATCCCGGGTCTCCAGGACGCGGTGCACGATGGGTATTTCGGCGCCAGGGATCCTGTATACTGTTATATCACCCGTATGGTAGCGTTGGCCTGGAGGGTTCGTAAGAAAAAGAAGGTCGCCACGGTAGAACCTAGGCATGTTTGACTACATGTCTGATTTGAAGGACATAGCGACGCCCAAGATGCTACAAAGTTTGGTTTAGTGTGCTGGGGATAACTAGCGCGGCACCTATACCTGGAATGCTCGCATTGAGGTTGGGATGTTGATTCAGAGCTTCGGCCATGACCACCGCAAAGCCGCTACATAGGAATGAGCTCGTGGCTCAAAGATTACCTGTGCATACGTACTGGTTCAGATGGAAGTCGATGTGGCTGGTAAACACATCATGAGATACGCAACAGAGGATGTAACGAGAATACATGATCACTAATGAATAAACCACGGTCCAGAATTGTCCGTGACGAAACGTATTGTAACGTTGTCCCCTGTCGATCCCATACTTACTGTGTCTCTCCAGATTGGGTTGACGAAGTTTGTGGTGCTGTTTCCCGAAGTTCTATGTAACAACGGCAAAAGTTTGCTGTCGAGTGCGTTAGAACGGAGAATCACACAGGAACGGCAGAACGACGCACTCCATGAAGGTGGATAGGATGCTATAATGATGGTGTGTAACAGGAGTGAGAAACACTGGGGCCTTACTGGACCTCCAAAAAGTAAACCTGTGTTGGGCAAGGCGATTTCCACTACTTTATTTGAGGGAAGCTCGTATACGCTTCCGCCCGGCAATAAATCTGAGGGATGCTGCGCTCCACTGAGCATTTGCAACAGGACCGGCGTCGGAGGGTTGTGGTACGTAACATTGTTGACCTTTAAGATACCATTCACAGTGGTGGCAAGTAAGTTGATGTGGACGTCTGCTTTGCCAACCTCGGGGAAACCGGAGACAGGGATACTGAGCAAAGAAGCAAGCTTCCCTTCGTTAAATGGCAAGATGTAAGGTCCAGGAGTGCTCATAAGATCTTCAGCGGGCGTGCCATTGTACCTGAGGATGGCTTGACTCAAGCCACCTGCAAACGTTTGATTTGCAAAATCGGATGGTGCGCAAACCTAGCGCCCCAGACCATCGGTGATCGATGAGGGTGGAGTTGAATGTGGTGGGGCCGAAAATTTTGTTTAACTTGGGCGTAGGATCGTGGTGCCTGAAGGAAGCGATGATATTTGGAATGCAAAAGGCTGACAAGATAACTCGAACCAGTGGACAACAGCTATAGCAGCGCCGTCTTTCATGGCCATTGTGTTACTAGAACAGCCTATTCCGAGTCAAGCGTTCGCGTTATGACTGAGCGCTGAGCGGTAGTCTCCGAGCTATGGCGGAACCGACCAAACCAATTCTACCCTTCCCACGCAAGATCTTAGATGGGTCCGTCGATCTCAATTTACATGCAGGTGAATCGCCGTCAATGATCAGATTGGGCTACCAAGTTCGTTGTCCTCGTATTTGACATTTGATCATCTTGACTATTTCTATCACGAATGACTTTCGGAAGTAAGCGGTCTATCATATTCATAGAGGAGATCTACATCAGGGAATCGACCCTAAATTGATATGACCAGATATAATTGGTAATCAAACAACATTATTATACACCATGTTTTAGCCTTAGATATTATTATCTTGGTGTCACACATATCTAACATATGATAAGACTATGCCAGAAAAGCATCGCCTTGATGCATGTTTTGCAAGCAGACAGCAGTGTGATACCAGCCTTGGATATTATTGTCGTAGTGAAGCACATATCCAACATATGATATGACTATGCCAGAAAATCATCGCCTTGATGCGTGTTTTGCAAGTAGACAGCAGTGCGATACCAGCCTTGGATATTATTCTCGTAGTGAAGCACATATCCAACATATGATATGACTATGCCAGAAAATCATCGCCTTGATGCATGTTTTGCAAGCAGACAGCAGTGCGATACCAGCCTTGGATATTATTGTCGTAGTGATGCACATATCCAACATATGATATGACTATGCCAGAAAATCATCGCCTTGATGCATGTTTTGCAAGCAGACAGCAGTGCGATACCAGCCTTGGATATTATTGTCGTAGTGAAGCACATAGATATGACTATGCCAGAAAAGCATCGCCTTGATGCGTGTTTTGCAAGCAGACAGCAGTGCGATACCAGCCTTGGATATTATTGTCGTAGTGAAGCACATATCCAACATATGATATGACTATGCCAGAAAATCATCGCCTTGATGCGTGTTTTGCAAGCAGACAGCAGTGCGATACCAGCCTTGAATATTATTGTCGTAGTGAAGCACATATCCAACATATGATATGACTATGCCAGAAAAGCATCGCCTTGATGCGTGTTTTGCAAGCAGACAGCAGTGCGATACCAGCTGTTACAAGTAACATCGGCTACATGGCCCCCCTATCATTTTTCCCCTTCGTCCTCGCACTCGTATGCCTCCGGCTCGTACTTCTCTACCGACTATCCGTTGACCGGATCCTCGGGACCGTTCCCGTCCCTCGCCTCCCCCTCCTATCGCACCAACGTGCGCACGTGCCTTCGGGCTATGACTTGTTCTGACTCGTGCCACCAATGTGGCTTTCCTTATCTTGTCTTATCTTTCCTTTGACTCGTGCACGCTGCACATTGTATCATTTACCGTTGGCTCGTTCCAACGTTTCTCGGTCTCATTCCGCATTCGACCTTACATCACTAATCAGGCTCTGCCACCATCGTACCTATACCCTTTCCGTTTCCCCTTTGCCCTTACCCACAGTACGGTAGCCTTGCCCTTAACCCTTTCCACTTAGTATAAGTAGTCGGTCACTCTGTACTAGATTCCCTAACTTGAATCTACTCAATCTTCCCTCAAACATACTTCCCTCTGAAGCCCCCTCAGCTTCAGTCTCTAGTATCTTTTCTTAGGTGCTCATCGCGCCTAAGTCCATCTCGATCGACTACTCATTGTTCGGACAAGACTGTCCTTACTTTGAGATCGTCAGTGACTTTGAAGACATCCGTCTTAGAAGTCACGTGACACGCGCGTCTCTGATATCTGCCGACTCGACGTCGCCAGTCTCAGTCGCTACACCGGACCCTTCCGGTTACGTCACGAACGTTAGCGGACGACGCCCCTCTTAGGGCTCCGTATAACAGATCTATTTGAGTGCGTAACAAAAGATTCAAGTTTCCTTTTTTTGCGCCCTGCCATCTGCACGGCCATTAACCGACAGACACCACGACTACCTGGACTCCGAAGTACCCTTGGGAACGCGATCCCAACACTCCGGACTCCGAAGAAGAAGAAGAATCGGAAGAAGACCATACGTCCTCCGACGAGTTTCCCGACGAACAACCGTATGGCAACCTCAACTCGAACCCTGGAACAAGAATGTCCGGAGGCCCCACCCCACAACCGACAGTGGTCGTATCCAGGCCTGAACTAAAGGCTGGAGTACCACAGAACTATGGAGGAAGCATCGATGATGCCGAGCGCTGGATGTACTCGGTGGAGACATACTTCCTCATCAACTCGACGATCTACAGCTCCGACCAAACCAAGGTCGCTGTTGCACTCCAGTATATGAACGATGGAGACGCCCGCGTCTGGGCCGACACCTTCTACCGAGCAGCCTTCGACAAAACCCCCGTCGACTTCGGCAGCTGGAAGGACTTCAGGAAGGCTTTCACCGAATCCTTCCACCCGGTCGACCGGATGACTGAGGCTCTAACCAAGCTTCATGGTTTGACCCAAACTGGTGACGTGATGCCCTACATCGCGACGTTCAAAACCCTGTCGTCCACTGCTAGTCTCAAGCAGGACGTCGCCCTCATCCACTTCTTCGAACGAGGGTTGAAACCAGGACTTCGAACCGCCATCTACACGAAGGAGGTCGTCCCCAGCACCATCGATAAATGGTACACTGCCGCGACACAGTTGGAAGCCAACTACAAGCGATCAAGAGCAGTTGTGTCCAACAACAGATCGGTGCGCCCTTCCGGGCACCGGCACGTCCCCAAGCCTCAGATCCGCCAACGCGATCCTGATGCTATGGACGTTGATCGTTCCCTCACGCCTGAGGAACGACAGAAGTGCTTCGATAAAGGCCTTTGCTTCAAATGCAAGGAGAAGGGCCATCGAGCAAACGACTCCCGGTTCCACCCGAAGGTGCGCCGAGGAGACAAGAACGACGAAGAAGACAAAGGCAAGAAGCCAAGCAAGTCTGGCGTCCGCCAGCTTGACGAGTCTTCTGACGAGGAAGACATGGAAGTCAACCTTGTCAAAAGAAAGGATTTTTAAAGAGAGGGCTTGTCGAACGGTCAATTCCCTCTATCTGTGCATTGTATACTAAAGCTGTTGGGAAATCCAACGAGTTTCGTGTCCCGGTGACACTTTTCTCTTCTTGCAGTGCCAAAACCGTTCAGTCGACCGCCATCATCGACTCAGGGGCAGGTGGGACTTTCATTAGCTATGACTTCGTCAAGCGAAATGGGATCCGGACCCACCTACTCAAGAAACCCTTCCGGATCACCACAGTAGACGGAAGCCCGTCCTCGGCAGGACAGGTAACCCAATACTGCATGCTATTCATTCGTCTCGATCGGAGACTTATGTATGGAAAGTTCAACGTAACGAAACTTTCCAAGCATGATGATCTACTTTTTGGAAAACCTTGGCTTAGTGCCATGATGCCCAATATCGACTGGAAGGCCAACACGATCTCCCTGCCCGCGACCAATAGGTCAAAGGAGGTGGAGAGGGAACTCAACGCCTCCCGACGAGAAAGCAAGGCCAAGCCATATCTCTTTCGTGGAGAAAAGGCTGTCCTAGAAGAACTCGACGACGAGGACTTTTCGCCCCTCAAGCGACTCCCCAAAGGCACTCAACATTGCCTCGAGGAAATCAAGAAACGCAAGAAGCGTAACAAGAAGAAGACGGCGCCAATCATCGTGCCCTTCGAAGACACTGACTTCAATACCATGGACGATGTCTGGGTCGGACAGGCCCATCTCGCGGATAAAGTTGAGGAGATCTCCACTTATCCCCTCACTGACGATGAAGTTCTAGTGGAATATGCTTCGGACGGAACATCCGTCCGGATCATCGAGAACATCTCTTTCGACACTCCGCTCACCAAGGACGGGACCTCGAAGAAAGAAATCCGGAAGGCTCTCCATCGACGAGCAAAACCTCTCCGGAACCTCTGGATCCTCGCTTCTCAGCAGGACTACACGAAGACCTCCAACAAAGCTCAAGAATTTGCTATGGAGGATGCGCAGGAGAAGAAGAAGAAATCATTTGAAGAACTGGTACCTTCCTATCTTCATGATTTTGCTGACATCTTTGCAAAGGACGGTCTGAACAAACTTCCCCCCTCACGGCCGGGAGTAGACCACAAAATCGAAACGAAGGAAGGCTTCATTCCGAAGTCTTCTCGAGCCTACCCGCTCTCACCGAAGGAAACCGATGCTGTCAAAGCATTTTTGGACGAACACATCGCCAAAGATTTCATCCAACCCTCGAAGTCTCCTCAAGCTGCTGGATTCTTCTTTGTCGGCAAGAAGGACGGATCTCTCCGCCCCTGCCAGGACTACCGATACATCAACGAATGGACGATCAAGAACGCGTACCCACTCCCTTTGATACCACCCTTGCTTGCGAAACTCAACAAGGCGCAATGGTTCACAAAGGTCGACGTACGATCAGGATATAACAATATCCTCATTCATCCCGACGACAGGTGGAAAGCCGCGTTCTCCACCTCATACGGGCTCTTCGAGCCCAAGGTAATGTTTTTTGGATTGTGCAATTCACCCGCCACCTTCCAAGCTTACATGAACCAGACATTTTCAGAAGAACTGAATGAAGGATGGTTAATCGTCTATATGGACGACATCCTGATCTTTTCAGATAACCTGGACGAACACCGGCAGAGGACCCGCCGAGTGTTGGAGAAACTCCGCAAAGAGTCTCTCTTCCTCAAACCCGAGAAATGTACTTTCGACTCTCAAGAAGTCGAGTACCTCGGTATGATCATTCGACCCGGACAG